CCCACCCTCAGCCTACAGGAATACACCCCTGACTGACCCTGGGCTAAACCCCCCCACACCCACCTCCAACCCCAGCCCTGCAGCAATACCTCCCTGACTGACCCCAATCCTCCTGCAATCCCATTTCCCACATGATCCCACTCCATTTCCAGTTCACTTGGCCAATGGCATGTGCGGCCTCCATGGAATCTAGTGTAAAATTGGAGAATTTTTGTCATGATGAGGGAGAGGGGTCTCCGGGAAAGGGGAAGGATTTTGGGGCTTTACAGTTTGTGCCAATTTGAAAACTAGACACAACAAAGATAGAGAAGCTATTAAGGCTAAAAAGAGGGTAAAACATGGACATTTCCAATGAGAATGTGGGACATCCCAGGCTAAAGAACAGGCTCTGTATACAAATGGAATCCTTGGGGGTAAGAGACAGCTCCTTCCCGCAGCTCCCAGCTGAATTCAAGTTCTGACAGATGCAACAGAACAGTCATGTGGAAGCAATCGGCATTTTCCAGACATGACCTCTGGATTTTTTCCCATGTGGAATCTGGGATTGGGTGCCATGGATTCCCAACAAAGCAAGTGGTTTCATGAAAAATGTTTAAGCTCATGACTAGTCAAAGGAGGAATGTGGGGGACATTGTAAAAACACAACTAACATCCAATTGTACATTCTTGTTTTCTACAGCACGTTGTTGTTGAAAATATGAGTCAGTGAAGGAGACGGTTTGGGGCTTGGGAAAGGTTGCAGGTACCTGGTTGCAACTCAATGGGGTCTGAGAGCGATGAGGATGTTTCTGGGGATTCTGTAACTGAAAGGTGGCCCTCAGTGAGTAGGAGTAACGCTGAGGGGCAGCAGGATGGAGATTGGACCGAAGCGATTACAAAGATTCAGGTCCCAGCCTTCACAGAGAGAACAGGCCCTCAGCATCAGCTTGCCAGTACAGCTGGCCCCCTTGATTACTTCACTTTACTGTGGCCTGACAGTGTGTTTGACACAATTGCAAAGGAGACCAACCGTTATGCTGCTCAGTGCCAGGCCCGAGATGGTAAACAGGATTCCTCCTGGATTCCCACTGATTCCCGTGAAATCAAAGCTTTCCTGGCTATCAACATAATGATGGGTATCAAACAGCTGCCTCGCATCTCCCTGTACTGGAGCCAGGACACTGCCGTGCGCTGTCCCTGGATTTCCTCGGCTATGTCCAGGGATAGGTTTTGGAAAGTGAACAAATATCTGCACTTGCGAGACAACACGGAGGCACTGGAGAAATCCCACCCCGACCATGACCCAATATTCAAAGTGCGAACTCTGATGGAGATTGTGCGCAACCACTTTGGCCAAAGATACCGGCCGAACCGTGAGCTCAGTGTGGATGAGGGAATGGTCGCTTACAAAGGGAGGCTGTACTTCAAACAGTATTCCCCTGCCAAGCCGACAAAGTGGGGCCTGAAAGTTTGGATGTTGTGTGAGGCAACAAGTGGTTACTGCCTGAACTTTAACATTTACACTGGGCGGCGCCGGGTGGCATCAAGGCACAGTCTGGGCTATGACGTGGTGACTGAGCTGTGCCACCCGTACCTCCATCGCAACCACCATGTTTACTTTGATCGGTTTTTCAGCAGCCCCGCCCTCCTGCAATATCTGCAGCTCTGTAACACAAGAGCATGTTCCACCATTCACCTGAACCGCAAAGGACTACCCTCAGCAGTCAGGAAAATCCAACTAACTAAACAGGGAGATATCCGCTTCTTCCAAAAGGACTCCTTATTATTAACCATTTGGAAAGACAAAAGACAAGTAGCAACACTCTCAACAAATCAAAATGCCACAGTGGTTGAGTCTGCTGGGACAGTCAAACCTCAAGCTGTAGTTGAGTACAATAAATATATGGGTGGCGTTGACCTTTCTGACCAAATGAGGAGCTATTACCCTGTGGGTCGTCCTTCTAAAAAGTGGTGGAGGTGTGTTTTGTGGTATTTAATGAACATCACCATTGTGAATGCTTGGCTGATTTTCAAAAGGTCATCTCATGACCCTCCACTTCCAAGTCGCTACGATCACCTCAACTTCAGAACGAGTCTGGCCAAACTGTTGCGAGGAGATTATTCAGCAGGAGCCAGTAGGAAAGGCAGATTGTCATCATCGTCAGACACCAGATATCCAGTCACCTTCTGTAACCCTAGTGCACACAATCTGGTAAAAATTCAGGGCCGTAAGAAAGTGTGCCGCCAGTGCTCGAAGCACAAACGCAAGACTGCGTCTGGGAGATCAGTGGAAACATCATTTCAGTGTGAATTCTGTGAAACTCCGCTCTGCAGGGTCAGCTGTTTCAGCAGTTACCATCAGTCTCTGTCTTAAACTCCAGAACCGTAGATCCAAAGTCAACTCATAATAGACTTGAAACATTAACTGTTTCTCTCTTGACAGATGATCCCAGACCTGCTGAGTTTCTACAGCATCTTCAGTTTTCTGATTTCCAGCATCACAGGATTTTGCGTTCAACCAGGATTGAGCTGGAGTCTCCAGAAATTCCAAATGAATTTAGCTTAGATTATTTTGGAATTTAAAAACTGGTTTTCTTCAAAGATTTTCATCCAAGATTTAGCAAAACAAAATGTGTTGAGGGGTTACTTTGATTGGTTGGTGTCACTTGTGAAGTGAACAGCCTCCAAAGTTATGTTCACCCAGAGTTGGGTGTACTGCGTCATTTTCCCCTGGGAAACCCCTTTGCCACTGTCTCCAAAAGGGTCAGCTGCTCATTGTTTGCAAAGGTATTTGAATTTCTAGCAGATGGTCTGTGCCATTCCTAATGGCTGCATCTTGTTGTGACTCTGTTGTGGTGTTTATATGCTTAAATTAAACATTGAACACATAGAACAGTACAGCACAGTACAGGCCCTTCAGCCCACGATGTGCCGACCTATTAAGCTTTTGCTTAGCCATTCCTTTTCAATGCTGTACCCACCTGGGCGATGTGACGCTCAGTAATTGTTAGTGGGACATGTCTGTAACTGGGTGGATGCTGTAAATCACTGACCTCTAGTCTTTGAGAGTGGTTTGTGTTTGATTTGTATTAGTTGTAATTGTCTTTAATGCGATGGTGGTATTATTTACAGCAGCTGCATTTTCTGCCTGTGCCTCATTTTTTGGTGTGGAGAAGGGGCAGTATTGTGTTGGCCGTGGTTGCTGGTGTATTTTTAACTAGACAAGAACAGGCATATGATAATCTCCAGTGACTGAAATGGAGACCCTTTTGAACAGAATTTGTGCTTCAGACCATTGCATCTGCTCACTCAATAACTACCAGATTGGAGAGGATTTTAAATTAATTCATCACTGAATTCTGCATGTTCCATGATGTGCTTTTTGTTAACAGTTGTATATCTGGGGTCTCATTTTGTGAACAAACTTTCATTGAGTTGCTGCTGGATTCAGACAATGCAATAATGATGTTGGATGGATAAGTACCGGGAAATGATCTAATTGATAATGAACAATCAAAATCACCAAGACTTCTAGCAGAGTGTCTAATTAATTTGTACCAAACTTAAAGTGCTAGCTTCTAAAACAATTGTTTAATAAAAAATAATTTGTGATCAAGGTGTGATTGGTTTATCATGACTGCTTTTAATGTTTTTTAACCACAAATTTTTCAGCTCAGGTGATGATTTAGTCTTTAGTACAGAGTTTGTTTACTCAGACCCCACCCTCAGCTTCTTTCCTAAACTTCAGCCCAACTTCATGGAGATTTATCACAGAATCATGCAGTTTATAAAGACATTCTATCACTTCTAAATATTACTTTTAAAATTGCTCAAAGTTCTTGGATCAATATGAAGTGAGAACTTGAATAAGGAACTGTTGAATTGAACAGAAGATGTGACACTTTCACAATGATCTGACAAGATGAAGAATTGGTTTTTGCTGAGATTCTGTGATTAAACATAATCACTCCTGACCTTATTGTTCCATCAGTGTATGTATAAACACACTGGCACCAGAGTTCACTATTACTTTTGAAAATTAAACCTCAACTCTAAAAGCTTTTGCAATTGTAATGCCTGATTTTCTTGTTTTTTTCAATCCAGGGGTTTCTCAAGGATCACTTGGTAAGCGAACTTTTGACATTTTTGTTTTGTGTCAGGATTTGAAATGTTGATAAAATGTGAAATCTGAAGGTTTGGATAAAGATGAGAAACTCTGGCCGTTTACTATTGTTTAGTTTAGCTGCATTTCCCTGCCCATCACTGCGCTCCCCTATTGTCAACAACCTAGAGTCTACCATCAACCAGAAACTGAATAAGACTTACTATGTAAACACAGTGGCTACAAGAGCAGGTCAGAGACTGGGAATCCCACAGCAGTAACTCGCCTCCTGACTCCCCAGAGCCTGTCCACTATCTACAAGGCACAAGTCAGGAGTGTGTTGGAACACTATCCAGGACAAAGCAGCCTGTTTGATTGGCACTACATCTACAAGCATCCACTCCCTCCACTACCGACACTCAGTAGCAGCAGTGTGTACTATCTACAAGTTGCTCTGCAGAAATTCACCGAAGATCCTCAGACAGCACCTTCCAAACCTACGGCCACTTCCATCTAGAAGGACAAGAACAGCAGATACATAGAAACACCTCCAACTGCAAATTCCTCTCTTCCAAGACACTCATCATCGTGAGTTGGAAATATATTGTTGTTCCTTCACTGTAGCTGGGTCAAAATCCTGGAATTCTCCCCCTAATAGCATTGTGGGTCAATCCACAGCAGGTGGACTGCAGCGGGTCAAGAAGGCAGCTCACCCCCACCTTCTCATGGGCAACTAGGGATGGGCAGCAATGCTGACCAGCCAGCCTCACCCATATACCATAAATAAATATTTTATTAAAAAGCTAAGTTTAAATTCTCTCAACCTCCCTGGAAATTTGAATTCCCTTTTGAAAGTTCTCAGCTGCAAAGCTGGTTATCAATTGGTCTGAGTAATGAAGCTTCTCGAGTGTTTGGGCTGCACTCATCCAGGCAGGTGGGGAGTATTCCATCACACTCCTGCGTCATGCCTTGTGGATGGTAGACAGGCTTTGGGGAGTCAGGAGGTGAGTTACTGCTGCGGGCCCAGGGATTTGGGGAAGCAGTGGGATGTTGATGATAATTTCAGCAGCTTCTCTGGTCATTCCGTCATCATCTCAGCAGATTTCATGAAATAAATTCTCAACACGTCCTGACTCAGGGTTAGATCTCCCAGCCTCAGAGAAGCTTGTCGAGTGCCATAATCATTGCCAAATGGCAGTAAAACATTGAGGCTTCTTCACTTTCTTTCTGTTCTTAACCCTTCCTCTTGACATTTAACGTGAGCCTTGAGCTAGGATTCAGGAGTTAGAGCAGCTCAATCTCAGTGTTGCTCAGTTGCTGTGTTTTGTTTCTCAGTGATCAAGGAGCAGATAAATGGAATCATTTTGGAATGTCCACACAGTAAATCCTGGAAAAAGGATGGAATAAAGTACAATAAGGTGATGGACAATGGGAATGTCATACTCTCGACGCTGTCAGACAGTGATTCTGGAGAATACAGCTGTGCAGATGATCATGGAAATTCTTCAGCTTTGGTGTTTGTCAGACGTAAGTTGTATGTTATTTTTTCTGAGCAGAGTTTTGAAGAGATGTAAAGGGTGCTGTTTGTCACTGTGTAACACTGACTGTGTCACCAGACTTGGAGACCATTCCCCAGGATGAGACAGTTCTTGATCCCACAAATTGCTGGCTGGAAGGTGCAAGCCAGGCCCCAGAAGTTAGGGTTTTAGTGATGGGGTGTGGGGAAGCGGTGTGTTCTCTGGTAAAGGGGGCACTGAATGGGAGGGGAGGCTGCCCAGTGTGGGTCTTGGCCGAGTGGAAAGTGCCTGCAGGCTCTAGCTCTGTGCTTCAGTTTAACTATTAACAGGAAATCAGTTACCGCCCCCACCCCACACATGCTCCCCTCCCGCACATTCTCTATGCCCCACCTGAGCTAATTACCTTGAGCCCCACACTCCCTTGTAGCCCCTCATAGCCTCCATGCCTCTGTACAGCCCCTTTACCCCCTCAGGACAGCTCATTCACCGTCCACCCACCCACCAGCCACCTTTTGCCTTTACACTGATTATTATCAACTCAGCACATATCCACCATGGACAGACTGCAATTACCCAATTCTGGCACTAAGTAACATGAAGTTCCAAATGTCTATTGCAGACTTCATTTAAAAAAAAACATTAATTTATAGAATCCCATTCACAATATTTATCCTTCTTCATCTGCATAATCCTTTATGACAACAAATGTCATTTTAATTGCCTAATCTCTAATAAAAACAAGTTTTGGAATTTATATAAAAGCAAATTACTGTGGATGCTGGAAATCTGAAACAAACGGAGAAAGTGCCAGAGAAGCTCAGCAGGTCTGGCAGCATCTATGAAGAGAGAAACAGAGTGAATGTTTCAAGTCTGATTCTGTGAAGAGTCACACCAGACTCAAAGCCTTAATTGTCTTTCTCTGTCCACAGATGCTACTAGACCTGCTGAGTTTCTCCAGCTTTATTTGGAATTTATAGTTATAGACTGTCTTAATTGGAACTACTTGGAGATGTCGATCAAACTGTGAAATGGCATCCTACTGTGATAAAGGAAGGTTGTGAGATCAGTCACATTAGCTGCCATCAAGTAACAGTAACCCTCTATCTAATGTCGAAGGAATGAAACAGCAATCAACTTTTTTCATAAACATTTTACTAAGTTTGCTCCAAATATTTAAAGGCAGGAGTTTTAGATGCCTTGACAATCCTTTCGCCATTGTTAGAGTTGTATTTGACGGTTTCACTGCGCGATGCTATCCTAGTGATTCCATGCACTTTTTACACACATTCATCCTGATTTTTAACAATCCCGAAGAACACATGATCTCTCCCAAAGCTGACCCAGGACCATAGCCAATAGGCCACCTCACCGCTTCAAGTGATACCCTGGCTATGAAAATGAATCCACAACATTCTGACCTGATCTGCTTTCACACCCAGCTTCCCAGTTTCAGACACAAGTAGAGACAGCTTTCTGTGAGAAATGTAATATGCTCCCATTTCCACTCCCCACAAAATCAGTGGGAGTGGGGTTTGGGGTGAGGGGTAACCTCCATTGCTGTGAGGAGGGGAGAGGCTCCAGTTATGAAAGTCCGGGTCTCAGTTTCTGATGGGTTTGAGAGTTAAACAGTTGTTGAGAACTATCTGACTCGTGGAGCTGATTATTCCCCCAGACAAAAAGAAACAGAGAAGTGAAGATGATATATGTTGCCTGTTGCTGATTTCAGTTTGTAGGAACTGTGTGAAGCTGGATCCTGGTACCATCTCAGGGATTGTGGTTGGGGACATCATTGCCACCACCTTGATCGCTCTGGCTGTTTACTTTGTGGTATCTTCCAACAAGGACAAAGCTTCCAATGGTACGATCTTCTTGTTAATTTTTCCAATTTCCCCCAATCTGCTACTGAAGACATTGACTTCCATGTCCATTGTTGTGAGAGCTGATTATATTCCCCAAAGGGTCCGTTCATGGTGATCAGGAACAGGAGACTCTGGCTGCGGTCTCACTTCTCTGAGTGAATCCTCAGTCACTCCCTCCAGTCACATTGGGATCAGTAAAACTGCGCAGTGGGCAACCAAATCCAGATTCTCTCAATTGGACAGAATCCATTGTCACCCCCACCCCCACCCCACGTTTACAAAGGAAACAGGAACAGGAGGCCATTCCACCCATTGAACCTAGAACATAGAAGGGGAGGCGATGGCCTAGTTGTATTATTGCTGGACTGTTAATCCAGAGACCCAGATAATGTTCTGGGGACCCAGGTTCGGATCCCACCACGGCAGATGATGGAATTTGAATTCAATAAATATCTGGAATTAAGAGTTTAATGATGACCGTGAATCCATTGTCAATTGTTAGAAAAAGCCATCTGGTTCACTAATGTCCTTTAAGGAAGGGAACTGCCACCCTTACCCACCTGGCCTACATGTGACTCCAGACCCACAGCAATGTGGTTGACTCTTAACTGTCCTCTGGGCAAATAGGGATGGGCAATAAATGCTGACATAGCCAGTGACACCTTCATCCCGTGAATGAATAAAGGAACAGGAAGAGGCCATTCTGCTTCTCACAAGACTGTTACACATGCACAGGAGGAGACCGTTCAACCTTTCTGGAGATTATTACACAGGAACAAGATTAGGCTATTCAGCCCCTCAAACCTCTTACGTAGGGGCAGGAGAAGGCCATTCAGCCCATTTGAATTTGTATTAGTACATACATTCATATTTATGTGAAAAACTAGAACTGTTTTGACACTTAATGGACTAGGCAATGTTTTATCGATGAATGTTTAGGTGTGAGCCATCTGCTGAATACAGAGTCAAATGACTTTGGGAAAATAGGCAACCAAAGCTTTGGGTGAGACAAGAGGTGGGTATGTTACTTGCGCTGATGCCTAGCAATCTTTTCTGGTTGTCGTTTCTGTTTCAAAACCCTAGGGAGTTGAAAGGAAGACAACCTCAACATTTGCAAGTCTCTTTCTCTCCTCTTGGTTGAAATAATTGGGAACCTGATGAAGTTTCCGTACCTCAGTATTTTGACTACCTTGTTAACCCTGCAAAGCTAAACCATGAGCACTTTTCAAAGATTTAAAACCCCCTAGTTTTCCATCTCAGCTGCTTGGTCTGCATCTGTCAGCAATTTGATTTCAGCAACAAGAAATTCAGTGGACTACAAGAATTCATCAAATTCTAGCTTATGTTTTTAAAACTTTTGGCCAATAGGATGTCTTTCTTTTTCAGTCAGCCCTTCTGTTGCACAGTAACAGGAAGAGGCCATTTGACCCCTCAAGCCTGTTGCATCATTCAGTATGACAGCAGGTAGCTGGGGGCAGTGGCGGGGATGAGGTCAAGCCCAAAGCAGGGGAGGTCAAGACCTTGTGAGGGGATGTGAGCCCAGCATGGCCAGGAGCATGTGCTGAACTATTAACTGTTTCTTTGTTTTTTCACTTTCTAGTAAGAAGGACTGTAATTTATAACTTTGTTTTCCTTAATTTTCTGTTTTGCATCCTAGGTTTTGTACCTAGGTACATTTGTACCTAAGATGGTGCTGTAAATGGCGACTTGTAAACTTTTCACTGCACTCACATGAGTATGTGACAATAAAGCTAATTCAATCCATTTACCCCTTTGCTCCACCCCCTCGGTTTCTTTACTCAACATAAAGTTACCCATTTCAGTCTTAAAAACCCCAACTGCCCCTCATCCTGCACATGGGCCAGAATTCCTGATTCCATTCCCTTTGTGTGAAGCTGTGCTTCCTGACATCACCCTGAGTGAACAGTCTCTCTCTCTCTCTGTCCTATTAAGTTCTTTTTAACCATCTCTATTAGAGCACCCCCTACAACGTACCAAACTAATCAGGAATAAGAACTTAGTCTGTGCAGCCTGACCTCATACGTGCCTGGGATTATTCTGGTGACTGTGCTGTGTGGCTTCTCCTTCTTGAACTAGTGTATGTGAGGAACTCACCAGTGAATCTTTCTGATCAAGTTGAACCTGAAATTGAAATGAACAGTAGCTTCCACTTGTCTGTAACACAGCTGCTTTGAGAAAAAGGCCATTCATTTGACAGTGAATTGTCCCTCACCCTGACTCTGAAACATCAGAATCCTTAAGAACTTGCCCTTTTCTCTGATTCCCTTACACTTGGTGAGGTGCAAGGTTGGAGTATGTTTCTGTCACAGACTGTTGCATCTTTCTCACGTTTTGTATTTTTCTCTTAGAGTCTGAGAATCAGAACCTCATTCCTCATGATCACAACGATCTTTATCAGGTACGGACAGAAATAGCTTCAATCTATAAAATCAAAGACTTGAATTAGCTTCTAAGAGTCACAGAATCACTACAGTGCAGAAAGAGGCCAATTGGCCCATTAAGCCCACACCAACCCTCTGAGGAGCATCCCACCCAGACCCACGCCCCTATTCTACCCCTGTAACCCTGCATTTCCCATGGCAAACCCAGCTAGCCTGCACATCTCTGGGTAATTTAGCATTGCCAATCCACATAACCTGCACATCTTTGCACTGTGAGAGTGAACACAGGGAGAATGTGCAAACCCAAATAGACAGTCACCTGAGGCTAGAATCAAACCTGGATCCCTGGTGCTGTGAGGCAGCAGTGCTAACCACTGAGCCACCATGCTGTCCTGTTAAATTGTAGCATCTCATTTCACTAACTTTCCAGCATTGTTTGTGAATTTCTCGAACTATCCCTATCCCAAACAGTTTGGGTTTTGTTTCTAACTAAATCCTGCAACCCCATTAGCACCAGCATAGGCACTACACTCTGATCCCAATTTGGGAACCAGTTGATGATAATGGCTGCAGGATTCACCTAGACCCAGTGTTGTTGGGACCACTGATGGTTGTGTTGGTACCAGTTGCCATGTCAATTAGTAAAGTCGGGTTTTGGTAATTAGCTGGCATCAGATTTGGCACATGTGGTGTGTCTATTATCAACTGCTTCTCCCCACCCTGAGAGAATAGGTGAGAATAGGCCTGTGCCAGACACACCACCATCTGATGACAGCGACGTCAGTCGATAGAAATCGCAAGTTTGTGTCCAAATAACGGAGCTTCTGATACAGACACAAGATGAATTAAGTGATTAAAACGTGATCTGTGTAGAAATTGACCAACTCAGATACCAGCAACCAATAAGCAGTTGACATTAGAACAGATGTTCTACTGCACAGTGGAATCAATCACTGTCAAGTCTGATAGATAATGCTAACTGATTCTCCCAAAATGGAGAACCCAAACCATGTTTCCATGTGGAACATTTAAAACCCTTAAAAATTAATGAGTATTTCCCATGAAAAGCAATCAGGCCTTGAATTAATAGGCCAGGTGATTGCAGCTTAAATGGGCTCCAATGTTATGAAAGGACCCTGTTCCCAGGCAAATGCAGTGTCTTCTCCAAGTCCAATGAAAGATTGAAATAAACACAGAAATTGCTGGAGAATCTCAGGAGATCTGCCAGCAGCTGTGGAGAGAAACGTTTCGGGTTCATTGACCCTGCAGAATGAGGGATTGACCTGGGCTGATCTTCCTGCGCAGAATCTCGGTCCTGGGCTGGGAGCGGTACCATGGTCCCTGTGACAGAGTTGCCTGTTGGAGGGACTGTGCTCTGTTGTTGAGCACTGTGGGCTGATTGTGAAGGAACAGCTGTGTAAAACTGTGGCTGTACCTCAATGTGGAGGATCTGACTGTGCAGTTGAGGCAGTTAGTACTCTTGCACACTTATCTTTGAATTCTGAATTGTAACACTGTCCTTCTCTATTTTGTCAGGATCTTGGGACACGAAGGGGAAGCTGTGAATACAGCCAGCTCTCCCCCCGCCTGAAAATATAACCCACTCTCCTGAGACTGACCCAACAGCAATGCTTACCACCTCGTTCACTGCTTTCCTGTTACTCAATAATGTTTTTCATGTTATTCGGTAATGTTTTTCTGACCTTTCGTTGTTGTTAATGAGTCTATACAAGATCGATGCAAATTCAGCGACTGGTTCAACTCCCAGCCTTATCCCTGTTACCTCTCGTCATATAGCACAGTGACAATTACAAACAGGTTAATAGTTTGCTAAGAGCTTTTGTGAGCATTCTGTGGGGTAAACAATTGTTTAGGTTTCACTTCCAGCGATCTCTCATTCTAGCTGTTCATTTGATATTTTTTGAGAGAGTATAGAATGCTTTAGCAAGAGTGAAGGTCTGGGAGAGGAGTTATGGTGGGGGAAGATATTAGACAGGGTGACCTTCGGAGGAAATAACTCTACTCTATATTTCAGCTCAGGAGCTGGTTTCAGTTTCCTCCAGATCCTTTTAGTCGCTTGATTTGATGGAACCCAGGTCTTGCTTAAAACAGAGTTGTGCTGTTGGAGGTTTTCACCTTATACTCATCAGGACAGAATCACAAGAATACTAAATCCCAAAGGGAACACCAATTTATACTGCATGAGGAAAAGATGCTGATTGGTTTGCAAATCAGCTCTGCCAATGCCTTGACCAAAGGTAATGCACTAGTTAGCTCTGATTCTGCATTTGGACAGCACTTGCTGGACAATCTGGAGTGTGCCAAGAACTTTACTCACAACCAATCGAAGATTGGTCACATTGTAGCTCATGTATACTTGCTGCAAGCTGCATCTATTCATACGCAGTGACTTGCCTTTTGCAGGCAAAGAGATTTTGTCCAGATATTGCAGCTTTTTACAATTAAACAAAAGCGTGGGACAGTCGTTCTCTGGTGCAATCTGTGGCAATGTCTCAATCAATCTGATTTAACTTGCCAGCCCTTCAGCACCCTCTCCTCATGCAGTATAAATTGTTGTTTACTTTGGGATTCGGAATTCTTGTGATTCTGTCCTGATAAGTACGAGATGAAATACTCTTAACAACGTGTTTTTTTCAGCAGTAAAGATGCATTTCATTTTCAGACAAGTTTAGGATTTTAGTTTGCCGTAATCAGCACTGTTTTTTATTTGTTGCTTTATAAACACAGTCTGCTCTTTATTGACTTAATTCCATGGGCTGAGAGGCAGCTTTCTGAAGTGGATAATGTGTTTAGTTCTTTTCCATGCTAATGACTCGTATATACTTCCTTTTAGAATAAGCAGGGAGCAAGAGCTATCCATCCCTAACAGCATTTAAGATTTGATTTGATTTATTGTAGTCACATGTGCATAAGTACAGTGAGAAATTTTGTTTTGCGAGCAGTACATACAGATCAGAGGGTGCTTAGACAGAGCGAGGATTACAGGTTACACTGCACAGGAGGTGCACAAAGCAAGATGACCATTAGATTTGAAATTAGAGAGGTTGTATCTAGGTTTTGCTTTGAAAAGTTATTTTGGATTTTTTGGGGCTTTTTAAGATGCTGAGGAACATATGGATTTAAACAGTCTATTATCTTAAACCATAAACCCATTGACTAGGAGAGAATGGTTTGTGCACCAATATCCCACAGTCCTGATCCCAACTCCCTCTGCGGTAGTCGGGGGAGCAGGCCAGGATTAAAACTGACAGGGATTAGTGAGTGAAATTGACAATCACAGGGATCAGTGGAGGCAGTGAGAACCGTTCCATTTATTCCATATGACATGGATCAATGGCCAGTGAAATACACAGGACTGTGATCAGGGTCCCCTCCTGGAGGATTTTGGGAAAAATAAACATGGCCACTAGGGCATCTCATAATAGTTAGAGATCCTTGCTCTCTCATACACATCCACCAACTGGAACATAAGATATAGGAGCAGGAGTAGGCCATTCAGCCCCTTGAGCCTTTTCTGCCATTCAATACGATCCTGGCTGATCTCCTCTCATCCTCAACTTCACTTTCCTGCTCATTCTCCATAACCCTTTAACCTGTTACTGCTTAAAAATCTGCCCATCTCCTTCCTAAATTTACTCAATGTCCCAGCATCCACAACACTCTTGGATAGTGAATTCACAGATTCATGACCCTTTGAGAGAAATAATTGCTCCTCATATCTGCTTTAAATCTACAGTTTCTGTACAAAAATAACTCCGATGGCCAGATAATCAACTACTGTTGTACTTACCCACTGGTTACACACCCATCCATTACAGCACTACCCATTACGCACCCATCCATTACAGCACTACCCATTAAGCACCCATCCATTATGGCACGACCCATCCATTACATGCCCATCTGTTTATAGCACCACCCATTACATGCCCATGCATTACACGCCCATGCATTACACGCCCATCCATTACACACCCATGCATTACAACACCATCCATTACAGCACCGCCCATCCATTACAGCGCCGCCCATCCATTACGCACCCATCTGTTATAGCACCAACCATTACACGCCCATGCATTACACACCCATGCATTACTACACCATCCATTACAGCACCGCTCATCCATTATAACACCGCCCATCCATTACATGCTCATCCGTTATAACACCACCCATTACACACCCATGCATTACACGCCAATCCATTACAACACCATCCATTACAACACCATCTGTGTTGGCTTCACACATGATCCATTCAGTTGGGTGTGAAATGGGCAGTTGATCTGAAATTGCTTGATGTCATTTATTGGTGATGTTTATCCTGCTGTGTGTCAGGCTTTCTGAATTTGATCAGGTCAGCAGTGGATTTTCCATCCACACTTGCTGCTTTTATATTTTATGCCGCTTTGTCATGGATTTGCTGCAATTATTTTGTAACTTTGTAGATTACGCCATCTCTGAAATAAATAATTTGAGACTTGCACTTGTTGCCTCTGATTTGACTTTGATTTCTTTAACTATTCACAAATAATCTGGAATCAAAACACAAGATACTGAAGATAGTTTATAACCCTTGAAAACCTCGATTTAAATTTATCTGTAACAGGTTCCTGAGTGTCCATGCTCTGTTAGAAAGCAGGCTAGGATCTTTCAGAATGGTCAGGTTGTGACGCTGAGTCACTTCAGGCTATAACCTGAAGGTCACTCAATGGACACAGAGAATGCTGGAGAATCTCAGCAGGTCTAGCAGCATCTGTAGAGAGAGAAACAGATTTAATGTTTCCAGTCTGGTATGACACTTCTTCAGAACTCAACATTGGACTTGAAACATTAACACTGTTTTTCTCGCTACAGATGCTGCCAGACTGAATGTGTTCCTCCAGCACTTTGTTTTAACTCCTATCTTTAGCATCTGCAATACTTTGATATGAGCCTCTCTGAGATATGAGCAAACAGTGCATCGAGTGAGTGAGGACTGAGTGATCTCTGCTCAAACAGGAAGCTGCTCAGTCAGTACCGAGATGCGCCTGACTGTGTGGGAGGTAAACCGCTCGAGAGAAACCAAGAAAAGTCACATCCGTCCATGGAGTCAGTGCAACTTCAACGAAATCAACTACAAAAACAATAAGCCAGGCCCAAACTGACACCTCTGGCAGAGACCAATCAGGAGGCCTGCTCTCAATGGCTGTTATCAGTTGTGGAAGGGTGGAAACAGGGGCAGGAAGATCCCAAGTGTTACCCTTCTGACCACTTAGTCAAACAGGACACACTAGAAGGAACCAGTTTCTCAGCCTCAGCCAGACACTGAAACATTATTGACTATGTCCAGCTAATAGACGGCACGTCAGAGCGTCAGTACTGAGGGAGCGCCGCACTGTCGGAGGGTTAGTGCTGAGGGAGCGCCGCACTGTCGGAGGGTCAGTGCTGAGGGAGC